AATAGTAGTAATAATAATAATAATAATAATAATAACTACAACTACAACAAATAATAACAACAACAATCATCTCCGTGCTCAAGCCGTTCCCTGTCGCCCCCAGGCACCCTCCCCCCCCCTCGCCCATGTCTGAGTGACGCCCTCACCGTGCCCCCCCTCCCCCCCCATCGCTCACCCCTCCTCCGCGCCGCCCATCACTCTGCCCCTCGCTCACGCTTGAAGTCTGTCACTCACTCGCACTCGCATTCGCAGCGGTCAGGCGTCGCACTCTTGTTAAAGGTCAGGGCACCCGTGCGTGGGCTGCGTGTCTGGCGGCGGGGCAAGGGGGGGCGGGGGAGGGGGCGGGGGCCGGGGCACGGGTCGGGAGGGGGGAGGAGGAGCGGGGAGGGAGTCTGTCTCTCGAACTGTGTCACTCGGAACCGAGCTCGCCCGCGTGAGTGGCAGGTGAGGTGGGAGGGGGGAGGGAGGGAGGAGAGGGGAGAATAAAGGAGAGGAGAGGAGAGGAGAGGAGAGGAGAGGAGGGGAGAGGAGGGAGGAGGAGGGAAGGAGGAGGGAAGGAAGGAGCCGCGAGGAGGAGGAGGGAAGGAGGAGCGCAGGCAAGGGAGGTCTGAAGACATTATATATGGGAAGATTAGGCAGATGGAGCGCCGCCTGAGCCAAGGCTTCTGCTTTTTCTGTCCGCCTCCGAAGTCCGTTCCTCGGCCCGTCTCCCGCCCCCCTTCCTTCCCCGTGCCGTCTAGCCGGCCGCGCAGACATCAGACGGCGCTACCTTCCTTCTCGGTATAAAAAAAAGGAAAAAAGAACGCCGCACCGAAAATAACTTGGCCCGAGAAACACACCCGCTCCCCCCCCCTCCTCCTCCTCCTCCTCCTCCTCCTCCTCCTCCTCCTCCTCCTCCTCCTCCTCCTCCTCCTCCTCCACCACCATCTCCATCAATGTCCTCCTCAATCACCATCATCTCCAACTTTATTTCCATCATTAATTTTGATTTTTTTTCTTCTCTCTCTCTTCTCTTCTCTTCCCCTCCTATCTTTTTTTATCTTTCTCTTCTGCGTCTATTGTTTCGTCTCTCTCTTCGTATATGTTTCCTGATCTTAAGCTTTTTTTTCTATCTCTTCTCTCTTTATGATTCCCTCTTTTTCAGCCTCTTTTCGCGCATGAGTAAAAGTGGGGAGGGGGAGGGGGAGGAGGAGGAGGAGGAGGAGAAGGGGGGGGAAGAAGAGGGAAACGAAGGAAGTTTGAGGCTGAAAGCAAGGGAGAGCCGAACCGCTTGCATGTTGTTGTTTTTTTCTCTGTTTTCCTTCTCATCTGTTTCCTTGCCTCCTCCCCATTTCCTTTCCCCCTTCACCATCCACCTCATTTATAAGCCACGCCTCCTCTTCTCTAGCTCCTTCATAACCCCTTCTTCTCCCCCCCCCTTCCCTCCATCGCCCCCTTCCCTCTCCCTCGCTCTCCCCTCCCCCCCACCTCCCCCATAGCTCCCCTCCCACTCTCCCACCTCCCACCTCCTCCATAGCTCTCCATCCTCTTCTCCCCCTCTCCCACTCCCCACTTCCCCCCCATAGCTACCCCTCCCCCATAGCTCTCCCTCCTCCCCCTCTCCCCTCCCTCTTCCCCATAGCTCTCCCTCCACCCCTCTCCCCCTCTCCCCCTCTCCCCTCTCCCTCGCCAGGTGTCCCGCCCACACAGGCATCTCGGCACATCATCATCGGGGTTTAAACCTCCGCGTCCGCCCCGTCAGCCCAGCCGGTCGAGGTGAGCCACTCGCTCGCAGTGACGTACGCATTCCGTCATCGGGGAGTCCTGTCGGTACTTCCCGGTGTTGGTCCCGCCACGCAAGTACGTCGTGGGGGTGAGCGCGCGCGAGCATGGTTGTATGTGTGCGCGTGGAGGTGTGAGCACGGCCGAGTCTGTGTGTGTGTGTGTGTGTGTGTGTGTGTGTGTGTGTGTGTGTGTGTGTGTGTGTGTGTGTGTGTGTGTGTGTGTTCTGTGTGTGTGTGTGTGTGTGTGTGTGTGTGTGTGTGTGTGTGTGTGTGTGTGTGTGTGTGTGTGTGTGTGTGTGTGTGTGTGTGTGTGTTCTGTGTGTGTGTGTGTGTGTGTGTGTGTGTGTGTGTGTGTGTGTGTGTGTGTGTGTGTGTGTTCTCTGTGTGTGTGTGTGTGTGTGTGTGTGTGTGTGTGTGTGTGTGTGTGTGTGTGTGTGTGTGTGTGTGTGTGTGTGTGTGTGTGTGCGTGCGATAGAGAATGATTAGATAGATAAATAGATAGACAGGGAGGGAGAAAGGGAGAGAGAGGGCGGGAGGGAGGGAAGGGGGGGGAGAGAGAAGAGAGAGAGAAGAGAGAGAGAGAGAGAGAGAGAGAGAGAGAGAGAGAGAGAGAGAGAGAGAGAGAGAGAGAGAGAGAGAGAGAGAGAGAGAGAGAGAGAGAAAGAAAGAGAGGAAAGGAGAGGAGAGGAGAGGAGAGGAGAGGAGAGAAGAAGAGAGGAGAGGAGAGGAGAGAAGAAGAGAGAGAGAAGAGAGAGAGAAAGAGAGAGAGAGAGAGAGAGAGAGAGAGAGAGAGAGAGAGAGAGAGAGAGAGAGAGAGAGAGAGGAGAGGAGAGAAGAAGAGAGGAGAGGAGAGAGAGACGACGGCTGACGGGCATGCATTCGTGTGTGCATGGTACGAGTGAGTTTATCTTAAAGGGAGGCTGAGAAGTGAGTGCAAGTGCACTGTACTCGTCCCTATGTGGCTGCCTCTCATTACCTCCAGATGCATCCCGCCTTTTCCTATCTCGCATGCCCCCCCCCCCCCCCCCTCATTGCACCATGCCCTCTGCTGGTCCTTCCTGCCTGGCCCGCCATGCAACAACAGGTAGTTAGTTACATTGCTACCTCCCCATTTTCACCGTATCCCCCCCCACCCTTCCTTTCCGTCATTTTCTCTGCTCTTCCCGTTTCCCTTGCCCCACCCCCCTCCCCCCTTATCCTCGCCTCGCCCTCCCCCCTTCTGCTTTCCTTCAAACCAACTTTGCCTGAAGTCATACCGATATCCCTGACTGTATCACAGGCTGTAACCATGTATTACAAGAACGGGTACTTCCCCGGAGTGGCTCTATGAAACTTTTTATGGTTATTTTTTTTTTCTCTAAAGTCTATGCCCTTTTCACTGTCCATCTCAGCGCCTTTAATGCCGGGTTTCCTTTGCCAATCATGGAATAACTGAAACAATAAACAAAAATGACAGATTGCCGATGCGTGCGCAAAGGTTATAATCGTTTCCACCGAAGCCCGATCCCTCGCGGCTATGGGAAAGAGATGCCTTCCTCCTGATATTATTTTCCTCGGTCCAGAAACTGCCGCAGCGAAACTTGCGGGTTTATAAAGCCAGACCAGTCCTGCGTAAACTAAATATAGCACGTCGTAATACAAGCTCACATAGCCGGCACTGTGCAGTAGCACGCACGCCTTACTATTTCCTTTAACCGAACGGGGCATTTCCAATGGCATGGCGCGGGAGTCCAATGCGAAAAAACGACGCGAGGCCCGAAATAACCGGCAATTTGGTAAACCTAAAAGCGAACTTTGAGTCATGTCTCCATGACGCGTGCTGTCGACATTGGGATGAATAATGGCGTAAAATAAGGCCACAATGGCAGCGCGGGAAATCTCGCATTGCAAGCGAGATGCAATCCTCTTTCGATGCAAGCCTCTCCCGGGGCGCCCGTTTCCTGGGACGCCCATGTCTGCGGCGAGGCAGGACTTGTGACCCATTCCCACCTAGCATCACGAGCGTCCTTCGCCTTAGTCAGGTGGTGGGCGGGGGCTCGGGGGGGGAGGGGGTGGGACACCAGACGTCTGGCTGGCTGGCGGGCGTTCGGGCGGGGAAGGGAGTGGTTGGGGTGGGGGGGCGGGGGCGGGAGAAGCGGGCGGACGAGGTCCCTGGTAGGCTGGTTGTTGGCGGACTGGTCCTGTCTGCCGAGCTGTTGCACATGGTCAGCTAACGAGCGATGCATTGGCGGGGCGGGCAGGGCGCGGGCGGGCGGCTGGCGGATCGGCGAAGCCCTCTCGCGTGCGGCCAGACGCGGAGTGGCAGACGCGGGAACGGACGGGCGGCTTGTTGCACAGCGGCGGCCGAGGGTAACGGTGCCGCCGACAGGACGCTTCGGGGCGCCATAGTAACTAGGGGCGAAGGGACGCGTCTACAGCCCCGGGGTCAGGGTATGGAGGGGCGGGCGGGACTCCCCTGACTCACTGGCGAAGGGAGACCGTGTAGTGGGAGCTAACAGCAGACAGAACACACACACACACACACGCGCGCGCATACACACACACACACAAAGTGAGAGAGAGAGAGAGAGAGAGAGAGAGAGAGAGAGAGAGAGAGAGAGAGAGAGAGAGAGAGAGAGAGAGAGAGAGAGAGAGAGAGAGAGAGAGAGAGAGGCAACCTAACATAATCTACACAAACACAAGAGCACAATTCGTAAACGGTCATCCGACTTGGCTACAACAATTCCTCATAGCAACCCTACAATTCCGAATCAATCATCATTACACTGAACCCATCCTTACCAGAACACCGGACGTTTACAGAAATGCCTTTATAAAAAGCAGCGTAAAAAAAATGTATAGGCCTACGGTAATTACAGAACTCCCCCCCCCTCTCTCTCTCCTACATCCTTTCTTTTCTTTCGTCTTTAACATTCCTTCGTCTGCAAACATCCAGCAAAAAAAATCGACTCCTGTCCTAATGGGTGCAGGTAATGAACCAATTTATCTGAAGCTAATGATTGTTCACTTATGATAATATAACTGGGTTAAATTTTCACGGACCCAGAATGTCATTATCTATAACAATATCTAAAAAAAAATTACTAAAGCTTAATAATATTTAAAAAAAAAATACTAAAGCTTAATGTGTAGAGCAAAGCCTGGCATGAGTGACAGCACGTGTCAGTATCTCACACAGACAAACAGCCATACAGAGAGGGTGTTGTTCCCTGCACACACGCGAACAAGCTGTCCTACCTTAGCCTCGTGCCAGGCCATGGCGTTGCGGGAGGGAAGACTGGCACGTACCTGAAAAAGGAAAGAGAAAATAATTATCAGGTCTGAGAAGTTGGACGTAAACAAATACAAATATAATCCTTGTGTAAAACAGATCGAACGCGAAACAGGGAGTACAGACGACTTTCCCCTAGAAGGAAAAGAACCCTTGGACACTGCGTTCGTTTCCCATTCGTCGAACGTTTACTACCTGCGAAAGAGTGACGAAAGTGCTGGTGGTCAGAGGGACGGCTCCTCCTCCATGTCGCGGAATGCCTTGGGCAGGGCGTCGCATGGCAACTGTGTTATGCCATCCAGACGATAAAAAAAAAATTCCGGAGCCAGTCTACCCTCTGTGTAACTTGGCCTGTGATTATGTATGTGTTTTCCCTGCCCTTCCTCCTCCTTTCCCGCTGTTATACCCCGCAGGAGAACCTTCGGCAGAGACAAAATCCGCGTCCAAATGAGGTGCCCCAAGTTGCGTCTACCTGGCCGGCTGGCGGACTATCGATCAGTTTATTTGTATCTGTTGGATGGGGTGATGAGGAAGGGGGAGGGGCGGGAGAGGGGGGGGGAGATGGAAGAAGATGTACGGGGAATAAGAATAAGAGGGAAGAGGAGTACGGTGATGATGATGATGAGAGGGAGGAGAAGGATGGTGAGTAGGAGGAGGAGGAGGAAGAGGAGAAGGAGGGGGAGGAGTAGGAGGAGGAAGAGGAGAGGCAAGAACGGAAGAAGAGGGGAAGGGGAGGAGGAGGAGGAGGAGGAGGAGGAGGAGGAGGAGGAGGATGGTGAGTAGAAGAAGAAATGGTGAGGAGGAGGAGGAGGATGGTGTGTAGGAGGGGGAATAGTGAGGAGGAGGAGGAAGAGGAGGAGGAGGAGGAGGAGGAGGAGGAAGAGGAGAAGGAGGGGGAGGAGTAGGAAGAAGAGGAAAGGCAAGAACGGAAGAAGAGAGGAAGGGGAGGAGGAGGAGGATGGTGAGTAGAAGGAATGGTGAGGAGCAGGAGGAAGAGGAGAGGCAAGAACGGAAGAGGGGAAGGGGAGGAGGAGGAGGAGGAGACGGAGGCGGCGAGGTACGAGTTGCGATGGCAAGAAGCTTAAGAGGCGGGAGAGAGCGGCGGAGGGCCGATGGGGGGCGGGGGTGAATTTACGAATGTCTGGAGGGAGAGTAAGGAGAGGGGGGGGGGGGGGGAAGAGGGTCACGAAAGTTGTATCACCTCCACCTAATAATAGCTGACGCAGACATTAGGAAAAATTGACATGCGGTGAAGAAAGGAAGATAGTAATAGAGGAGAATAAGAGTGGGGGGAATAGGAGAGAGAGAGAGAGAGAGAGAGAGAGAGAGAGAGAGAGAGAGAGAGAGAGAGAGAGAGAGAGAGAGAGAGAGAGAAGAGAGAGAGAGAGAGAGAGAGAGAGAGAGAGAGAGAGAGAGAGAGAGAGAGAGAGAGAGAGAGAGAGAGAGAGAAGAGAGAGAGAGAGAGAGAATGAGACAAAACTCCTAGCTACGGTCTAGTGAATCGACCTGCTTTTTGGCTCCCTCCCCCTTCCTCCTTCGCCCCATCTCCCCCCACCCCCATCCCACCCCACCCCCCCTGCGTCACGTCGGGAGGCTCGCCATGCGGGTCCGCCTGATATTACCAACATCATTCATGACAGAGATAAAACTTTTTTTTTTGTTCCTAATGTGTTTACTGCTACATGCTGCGCTATCTCGTGCGAGCGTGTAAGTGTGCACGGATGGGACACACGGCAGGAGGAGGAGGACACTGGAGAGGGGTCATGGAGGAGGAGGAGGAGGAGGAAGGAGGAGGAGGAGGAGGAGGAATGAAGGAGGAGGGGGGGAGGTGGAGGAGGAGCAGGGGGAGGAGGAGGAGGAGGAATGAAGGAGGGGGAGGAGGAGGAATGAAGGAGGAGGGGGAGGAGGAAGGAGAGGGAAGAAGAGAGAAGAAGAGGAGGAAGGAGAGGGAAGAGAAGAAGGGCGTGGGTAGATTGGAGAGGTTGGAAGGAGGAGGAGGAGGAGGTGTAGGAGGAGTAGCAGTGGGAGTAGGAGGAGGAGCGGAGGACGAGAGTCGCGAGGAGCACCGGCCGAGGGCAGAGGAGCAGAAGGAGCAGGGTGCAGCAGCCGCGCCGTGATAACAAGGTGTTCGCGGAGCCGGGGACGCCGCCCCCGAGCGCCCTAATTAGAGCGAGCGCCGCCGTTGCTCAAACATTTCCGCTTGTTCCAGGCGAGACAGATCGAGACAACTGATCCCGGGAGGCGACGCGATACGTTTCCCAGATGTCCAACAGGAAATACAAACTGATACAAGGCGGGCGGCGGGTAATGCATGCACGTTCTCTCAACACGCACACCGATGCTCTCTCTGGGCTGACTACAGTACACGCACATGAGGAGGCGGCCAAACAGACAGACGTCTAGATGCTTTCCTTTCCTGTTTCTCTCCTCTCTCTCTCCTCTCTCTTCATCTATGAAATTATCACACACACAGACACACATGTATATATGTATGTATATCTGTATACATGTGTATGTATGTATGTATATATGTATTTATGTATGTATGTATGTATGTATTATGTATGTATGTATTATGTATTATGTATGTATGCATGCATGTATGTATGTATGTATGTATGTATGTATGTATGTATGTATGTATGTATGTATGTATGTATGTATGTATGTATGTATGTATGTATGTATGTATGTATGTATGTATGCATGTATGTATGTATGTATGTAGGTAGGTATGTAAGTATGTAGGTTTGTATGTAGGTATGTAAGTACGTATTCACAGCTCAATATGTACACATTCCCTGCCTCTCCCCCCACACACATACCATACAAACCCAGTGTGGGCAGACAGACGTGCGCAGCCACTCATGCGCATCCCACTTACAGCCAGCCTCACGCGCTCCCTCTCGCTGCACGCAACGAGTCACGTACCCGGGAACCCTGTGCACGCTGCTCTCCTTAACATAAATAACCCGACACAATTCACCTGTTCGCTTCGTCTTTATCTGCGGCAGAGTTGAACGGCCGCCGAGACACACCTGTCCCTTCGACACCTCGCCGTATACGGGAACAAAGGGGAGGCGAGATGGGGAAGGGGAGGGGGGGAAGGGGAGGGAGGGGAGCGCGAGGGGAAGGGGTGCGGGACGGGACGGGGGGGAGAAGGGGCGGGGGGCAAGGGTGCCAGGCGGGAGAAATCTGCCAAATGTTTCGTGACTTTGCGTGCCTTTTCCTTTCCAGGCGACTGTTCGGTCTTGGCCCTGTTTTTTCCTCTCCTTCCCCCCTCCCTTTCCCTCTTTCCCGTTTCCTTCTCCTCCTCCTTCTTCTTCCTTCATAGCTACGGCCAGACGCCTCCTCCCCACCCCCCATCAACCCAAGAGTAAGGTAGACCAGGCTATGGAAGGTCGGCCGAAAATACTTGGAGGCCATAAAAAAGGAGGAGGAAAAAGAGGGAAGGAGAGGGAGACAGGAGACACGAGAGAGTAACGGTAAAGCAAACTGCGCAATCTGGCAGCGCAAGGGCGATCCTTGATGATCTGCCGCAGTGGGTTGTCGTAAGAAGGAAGAGAAAAAATATTGACAACGAAAAAAAAAGAAAAAGAAATGGAAAAAGAAAGAAGAAAAGAAAGGAAACGAAATAAAACGAGGGACAACAGATGGAAATCGAGGCTCACCAGGCATCAAGACGGACCAGCGCGAGAAGACGGCCTCGCAGCATCCCCCCCGCGTGATCGACAGGGGATCGGGCGGCGGAGCGAATGCATGCGGGAGGGACAGAGTGGGGGGGGGAGGGGGCGGAGGAGGGGGGGAGGGAGGGGGGGGAAGGAAAGGGGCGGGGGTGGAGGTGGAGGACGACTAAAACTGCTGTCTCGAAGAACACCTGACTCCCTTCTTTACCGTTTACGATTATGGAGTGGACGTAAGACTGGCATCAGCAATGTCCATAAACCAGCCTAAAAAGACATTTTGGTTGAAAAAAAAAGACCTTAGAAGAGGAGATCTGATGCCGAGAGGACTTTGAGGAAAAGGAAGATTACATCAGCTGGACGATTATTCATATTTACAGTGCATGAAAAAGTAGGACGCTCCGGTAATGCGAAAGTTGTCAATAAGCCAACGCGAGGAAACATCCTTTCAAAAAGGAATTCGTTTTGGCTCTGTTCGTCTGTATGGCAAACATCGGTCATAGACAGAGGCAGGAAAACCGTATTTGTGTAAATAGATCCTTAAACTTTCATGATACTAACTAGAATAATAGAAGGTTGTAGGCGATATATACAGTAAAGTATGTAAGTTTTGTTTCTTGACATGAAGGCGAGAATAACAATGCAAACGAACAATTATTGTATAATATTACACACAAAAATATATAATTAAACACACACACACACACACACACACATATATATATATATATGTGCTCAGAACAGGAATGTGTCCAATACTGTTATACGCTAATTAAAAGTGTTGGCAACAAGACCCATTATCACCCATACTATCTCTGCTCTTATCGGCCATTAGCGCCTGAGAGTCACGCCGCACTTACCTTCTTCAGGCATTTGATTCGGTGGTGAAGCCGCTGCAAATAACCCATTTCCTTTTTGGGCGCGGCCTTCCGAAAGCACATGCAGAACACGCCCTTCCACACGCTCTTCTCGCCCGGGCCGCCGCCTTCGGGAGGCCTGGGCGCCCTCCCCGGACGCAGCTCCGCGGAGGCCGTCCTCGACTCCCCGGCGAGCGGCGGCCACGACTCGCGCGTCCGCATCCCGCCGCCGTCGCCTCCGTCGTTGGAGGCGGACGACTCTTACCGCCGCTGACAGAGCCGCTCCCGTGCCAGGAACAAGAGGGGGTGGCAGGACTCTGCGAGATGCTGTTTCCGGGGGACCGCGAGGCGACGTGAGCGCTGCTGTTACCAAGCAGGGGAGTGTCTGGTTACGCTGGCGCTCCTGATGACCGCTGGGCCGACGCT